AAGCACCAGTTGAGAAGCACCAGTGTAACTGCTGTATAGGCATTATATTTTCGAAAATGCAAAACATAATACGTGAGATAAAGGAACTGATAACCAGCTAAAATCATGCATTTCACGAAATACGCTCATAAATCGTTACTTATCTACGGCCGTGCCAGTCTTAGCCCTCCTTGCTCAACTCGGGCCATTATTTAGGTACCATGTACTTCAGATGTCCCGCAGCTACCAAAAAGAAGTTGCTTCTGTCAAATATCAGGTCACCTAAGCAAGCTTCTATCAGCACTATTCGCTTGTCTTTCTGGCTACTTGTTAGGCTGGCTCTCTGTTAATAATGTGCAAAAATTTACACAATGCTGAGATGATGACAATGAATAAGATTCTCAGGACGTATAGTACAGTGTTGAAATCGTCTTTCCGGTGAGCCGGCAGATAACATCCAGAATATCGGCAAGCCATAACCATTAGCAGGAAATGCTCCTTGACCACACGCCTTTGTTCGACATTCATTTGACGCACAAATTCCGGCAACGCCGAAGCTGCTTCACCGCTTTCTGTCTCCATTTCTCTGCAGTTCTTGCCTGAACCGCTACTGTTCAAAAAAAATTTTCTTAACTAAGTTCAAAACAATCCTTGCAAGAACAATGGCCAGTTTGGCCGATACAAATTTGCGAGAATCAGAGCTACACACGAGAAATTATTGCTTGTTTAAGAAGAAAGATCCAACACAGTTCAGCCAGCTATATAGTAGGGTCCCAGTAACATCATTAACCTACACTAATTGCTTGGGCGATTTTGGTGTTCCTGCTTGCCCAAAGCCCGAATTCTATCATTCTAGAGCCATAAGTGTGGCAGCAGTTTCATGCATACAATAAAAATTATTGATTTCACCAGGGGGAAACTGAAATGAACATCAAAATAAACCGAACAATCAATTTGAGGAGCTCAGCAGCACCGCAAGCCGATTGTAACAACGCTATCACAAAACATTTTAATCACATCACATTTAACAGATAGACTGCCAAAAACCACAAACAATCCATTCGGAAAAAGCCAAAAATTTGCAGGCTTTGCTGTGTGGAATATTGAAAAGCAGTGGATTTTACATTTGAGATAATTTCTAGCTGAAGTATATAGCTTGTTAGCAGCGAAAATGAAGGCACAGCCCCAATGCTCACCAACTCCGGAAAACTAAAATTACTCGTGATTCAGAACTGAAACTGTTTTTATGACTTGACAGCTTCGAAAGACACAAACGAAAATTTCTGAAATAATATTCTTCAGCTGATAGACGAAAAACATAACATCAGGCCCTAAATCTTATCATATCTTGACCTGCAACATTAGGCCTGATTTCGCGTCCGGTTCTTATTTCGAGAAACGAAGGCATACATAAATAAAAGAGAAGGTGAAATTTTACAGGAATATTTATTGCCACTGCGTAAACTTCAAGCGTAAACTGTTTTCGTATTCATCTACGTCCCTTGGCCACTTATGAAATCGTTGGCAGCACCCTGTCACGATAATGAAATCA